TCTCATATCTACTTGTCCAAATAGCTTCAACTTATAATCATTGAACATGCCAAAAAAGCTCAAGCTTATCAACTCTGCCAGAGCAAACCTTCCGTTGCTTGATATGTGAGATCCTTAAGAAGAATGAAGCTGAACTCTTAAACATCAAAGGCCTTTTGGTTTAACGATTGAAATTTCATAAAAAATTCCAAAGTTAAGCATGTTCGTGCGAGAACAGTCTTAGAATGGTAAAGTCCCGGAGAATTACATCAATAAGACAAATTCATGAGGTCGTTAAGCCAAAACGAATAATATCTGCATGGATGAGAAATAATGCTAGAGAATTACTCCGGCCTAAAGATAGGAACTAAGTGCAATACAGAATAAATTGCTACGTCATGGGAGCTCTCCTATGAATCCTAGATGGGATAAAGTGCTATATGGTGAGAGCCACATCTGAATATGTAAATGTTGCCTCTAAAATAAATTTGTGAAGAATATTATGTCATTTATCAATTCCTAGCAACACAAATTTTGTGCCACAATCTTGCAAGCGAATAAATTTTTTTTTGTTTTACTTCAATGTAAAAACCTCGACAATATGAGCGTATTTGATTATGATAAAGCTATTTTGACTTTGATTAGCCTGATGCTACGTCAATACTTCATCGTATTTATCATACTTGACCAAATCATTTGTGGCCCATTTGTGGACCTATATGAGCATGTGATGTTTGGAAGATTTTCATAATTCATGCATTTTGAGCTAGTCTTGCACAACATCCCACCTATTTGTCATCATTTTAATCAAACACGATTGGGTAGAATTTTTTTTTTTTTTTTTGGTTTTTTTTTTTTTTTTTTTTTTTGGAAAGAGCAACGGTAAACTTAAAATAAAAAATACTAGGATTCATCATTGCAGAATTAGATGGAAAAACTTAAAAGACACAAATAAAATTATTTTTATGAGTAAAATACAAGAATTCAAAATTTGAGATATTCATGAAGAAGCAAATGTGATGTGGGATAAAGTAACAAACACTATTAAACAAGTAGCAAAAGATGTTCTTGGAGAATCAAAAGAAAAAAATATTTTCAAATAAAAATAGTTGGTGGTGGAATAATAATGTGCAAGAAAAGATAAAATATAAGAAGTTATGTTATAAAAATTGGTTTAAATGTAAAAGCTTAGAGGATTGGGAAAAATATCAAACAGACCCGCATGAAGTATAAAAGAACAATATGTGACGCTAAAAATTTTGTTTTTAATGATCTTTATCATAGATTGGATACTAAAGAGGGTAAAAAATATATGTTGAACTAGCCAAACAGAGATAAAAGAAAAGTAAAGATTTAACTCAAGTAAAGTGTATTAAAGATGAAAATCAAAAA